AATGGATGCACCCAGGTACAGGATAAAGAGGTGTGGATTTCTACATTGAATTTTATCTTTTGCAGCTCGCAAATAAATATTTATTAAATATAGGGACAAGTAAGCATAATATTAAAAATTCCGGGAAGTGATAGTTCCTCTTAGTTTCAAATTTTAAAACCATTCTTGCACGAGTATAAATATTGATTGACAAATGTCACTCCATTCTGATGCCAATGTTCTGGAAATGAATCCAAGTCGTAAGACATAAGCCGGAAGTAGCCGGAAATAGGCTAAAGTGGGGGTTTGTGTTATCTCAGTGTAACCTTCATGAACCCCATATCATGGTGGCACTGTTGAAGATGGAGTGCAGGTAAGCATTTTGTTAACATCTGCTTATGAAATAAACTGCATAATTTAGCACTTCGATAAAGGATATATTCCTTGCATAAGGAGATGTTATTGTTTAAAGTGAACTTTTTGTGATAGGTTCACTTTAAATACAAGTTATTTTGTGTACCAGTAATTCTTTTTTTCCTCTTTCATGTACCAGCAGTCCAACTGCCTATGTAGTTTTCCAAATGTATTTTTGGAGTCTAGAAACAGCAGAATAAACCATGCAAAATCACATTTGGTATCAGAGTTCATAAAATGCCCTTCCCCTAAAGTTGTTGAGATCCACTGAAGGTATATTTTCAAATATGACGACACTTACCTAAGTAAGTCTGGTGGAATTGCCCTAGAGTTGGATGGTTTTCTGGGAAATATTGCATCACGACCACAGTTATAGCCAAGCAAGCTCACTAACGCACACACCTTTGTAAAGCCTGAATCAATGCTGAGTTCGATATCCAAGTACAAACACTGACACTCCCTGATAAATGATATCTAGTAACAGCAGCTAAGACATACTTTATAATTAAATTAATTCAACCCCTTTCCTTTGAGAAATGTACCTCAAAATTTAAAGATCAAAATAATGTTGGATCATTCTATTCCCCAATCATGGATACATCTTATAAATTTGGCATTGAAATTCGTGGAGTCTAAGCAATTTCAATAATATGCCAGAAACATATGGCTCGGGCTAACAATTTTGTTCCCTTGCCAACACCAGAATGCTTTACACTGCGTCCAACAATGAATGCTGTTGCGTGCGTTCTGGAATCCTGCATTAAAGGGACACTCTGGACCCCTAGAGCACTTTAGCTTGCAGAAATACTTCATGGCTTTATGTTTGAAGAGTGTGTCCTCATTTTTCAAAATAGTTCAGATTTCAATAGAAACTGGCACTTTTATAGATTTAACTTGTTAGACCACCTGGCTTTCAAACAAACAAACAACAGGTCCTGTTACTTCCTGGTTTGTTTAGCACAGTGGAACTAAAATAAAGAGGCAGAAATTGCCTTGCAAATACTTCTCACTGATCTGCATTGGGAAGTCTGTGATTGGACACCCACAGAAAGTCAGGGCAGGGTTCGAAGGGAAAGGCTTGCAAAGGCTGCAGACAAGAGACCTGCAGATTCTGCAAGCTGTTTTTAGATATACACTCAATGAAAAAAAATGTATAATTAAATGCATGCGTGTTTTCATTTAACTTTCATCTACTGAACAGTGTTTTTTTATTTATGGTTTGCTTTTGGGCAGCGGAGTGTCCCTTAAAGCAAGGCAAGCATACTATGCAAGAACATTAAAACAAATTCACTAATTTTAGTCTATATCTCTATAACCTAGAGAGACAACACCAGCCACAGCCTGCAGCCTCTAAGTTTCTGGGTAAATCTGTCAAACTGTTCTGTGATGTGTCCATCTCCAAAACCAAGTTCTGTTGTCTCTATCATTCTGTGTCACTAGAGCCAGGGCCGCCATCAGGGGGAGACAACTGTGATGGTTGTAACGGGCCCAGACCTATCAGTGCGTTGCGCATGTTACGTTCCAACACTGCACTCTGCCAGGGCTCGCCGGCAGAGTGCAATCACTACATCAACAGAGAATGAGTGTCCCCTCTCCCTGGCATAGAAAAGAAGCAGAGAGAGGGGTAAAAAAATCATAAAATATAGATCCCCCCAAAAAACCTGCTCCTGTCACTGCCCATAAATGGCAGCCCATATCATGCACCTCTTCATCCCCCTTACTCAAACACAAACACTACATCCTCCATTCACACACTACATCCTCCATTCACACACTGCATCCCTTACACACACGCACACACTGCATCCTCCATACACACGCTCTGCATCCTTTACACGCACTGCATTCCTTATGCACATACACGGCATCTTTATACACTCTATGTCCCTTACATACACACACGCTGCATCTACTATACCAGGGCCAAGACATTGTGCTGCCTGGGTCCAAGGGTGAAATGCTGCCCTCACTGACCAAAACTATGCCTACCAAAACACGCCTACATCCATTATGTTATGCAGTGTGTGTAGTGAATACAGTGTTTGTGTAGGGGATGCAGTGTGTATATTGAATTCATTGTGTGCATGTGTATAGTAGATGCAGAGTGTTTGTGCAGTGGATGCAGTGTGTGTGTAGTGAATGCAGTGTGTGTAGTGAATGCACTGTGTGTATAGTGAATGCATTGTGTGCATAGTGGATGCAGTGTGTGTAGTGAATGCACTGTGTGTATAGTGAATGCATTGTGTGCATAGTGGATGTAGTGTGTGTAGTGGATGCATTGTCTGTATTTGTGTAGTGAATGCAATGTGTGATTTTGTATTCTTTGCAGAGTGTTTGTCTATACAGGACCAGTGCAAGCATGTTTTACTAGGCAAAGATCCATTTTGCCCCCCCCTGTCTCTTAACCCACTTTTTAAATTCTTACCCCTTTTGTGTTTCTTACCCCTTTTTGTGTTACCCCCCCTTTTGTGTTTTACATTCTCTTTAGAGTAACATACCCTCAATTTTTGTCCTTTTTGTCTTACATATCCCTTGTGTCTCTCTTACTTTCTTCCACTCCCGTTGTATCTCTCTTACTCACCTCCAGACCTTCCCTTTGTGTGTCATTGTCCTCGTCCCCAGCCCTCTGTGTGTGTCATTGTCCCCTTTCGCTACGTCTGTATGTGTGTCATTATCCCCTTCTCCAGCTCCTCTGTATGTGTCATTGCCCCCTTCTCCAACCCCTCTCTGGGTGTCATTGTCCCATTCCACATGCCCTCTGTGTGTGTCATTGTCCCCAACCTCACTCTCTGTGTGTGTCATTGTCCCCTTTTCCAATCACTCTGTGTGATTGTCCTCTTCTCTAGTCCTTCTGTGCATTGTTCCATTCCTCAGCACCTCTGTGTGTGTCAATATCCCCTTCTCCAAGCCATCTGTGTGTCATTGTCCCCTTACCCAGGCCATCCGTGACCTAATGGACTACCTCTACCTGAACTAAGAAGAATCTGTTTGATGCTCTCACCGAGCACTTCCTGTCAGACTGGTAGAGGACAAAAAAACCTCAATAGCTGTGTGGTCCACTTGTCCACATGAAGTGACCGTCAGGAGGGTGAGCTCTGTGTGCTCTCCTCCTGCTGATCACTCAGAGCCCAGATATTGGGCCCCCCTAAGGCACCCACTTGAAGGGAGGTCTTATGGTAGTGCCAGCCCTAAGTGGATGCTGTGTGTGCAGTGGATGCAGTGTTTGTGTTATTATTATTATTGTTATTATATTTATATAGCGCCAACAAATTCTGTAGCACTTTACAATGGGTGTTGAATAAGGGCTGAGAGTAGTGAGCAGTTATTTTTGTTTTAGTTTATAATTATGTTAATTCCCCCCTCCCTGCCTTTTAGCTGTGGCTAGGAATGGGGACACTAGATTCCCTGGGTGGTCCGATGGCACAGCATGCTTGTACATTTAAAATGGGGCTTTGGAGTCTCATCTTACACTTCCAGCAGCATCAGGTCCACTCTCTTTTACAAGTCACAAGAGAGTGGCCATGGATCGCATGGCAACGCTCCTCACAGCATGCAATATTGGCACAATGCAACCCTCGACAAAGCTCACAAGTGGAGAGAATCTGATGCTGCTGGAGGAGGAAAATGAGACTCCTGTGCACCATCTTCAATGTACAAGCCAGCAGGGACCCGGGACTGTGTGTATGTATGTGTGTGTGTATATATATATATATATATATATATATATATATATATCGGTACTCGCTATGTATATAAAAATAGGAGGCCCAGGCCCAATACAGCAGGCTGTACACCAAATCCCATATACATACACACAGTGTATCCAGTATACAAGCTACATCCCCTACACACACTGCATTACCTAGAAACATACACTACAATCCCTAAAAAAACACACATTACATCCCTTACTGTCAGGATTACTAGTTGATCCAGCACGCAGAATTATATTACACCTAGGACTAAGGATAACGTATAACCGGACCTTAGAATGGCCGGACTTAACGAATCCAAGAATAGTCAAAATACTTGTCGAGGTCAGGGATACAGAAGGAGACACAACGATGAGGGAAAGCCAAAAGTCAAGGATACCAGAAATCAGGGAAGTCAAAACGAAGCCAAAGTCAAAAAACAGAATAATACGATCAGGAACACCCTCTCGGATAACCAGCAAAGGGAAACCACAACAGGGCACTATTCAAAAGGTAATTTGGGTTGAAATAACCCTCCCAAAGCTGTAATTGGCTGTATGTGGCCTCTGACCCCAAAACGTGAGTGCACGTTTATGTCGTGAGGTCGCATGGACGTAAGTGCCATCTTTAATATGGTCAAAGGCTATTTCCCTATTAAAATCGTAACCGCAGCGGCTGGCGTCTCAAGTAACGCCGCACACGCTGGGGACCAGGATGGAATGAGGTCAGTAGTGATCTGCCTCGAGTAAGGTAAGTATTTGTCATTTCTGTCGGCGTGACTGCTGTGTTTCTATGTGACCAAGCCAACAGAATCCCGCAGCATCGTGACACTTAGAAACACAATCTACATCTGCTACCACAGCCCTAAGTGCCTGTAAAATGGTGGTGGTATAGGGGCGGGCCATGCATGCAGCCTTAGGGTAAGGGTTCTAGGTCGTCGCTATGTAAGTGGCCACAAATTTTCTGATGACAGCTCTGGTGCTGATCCTGGTGCCCAGGAGGCTGGAAATTCAGATCAGTTGCAACTGCTGTGATGGACAACATTTGTTCTGTCTGTCCATCACACTCACTGTCTATCTGTCGATCACGTTCATTGTCTTTCTGTCACACTCTCTGTCTGTCAATCACACTCATTGTGTGTCAGTCACACTCACTGACAATCTGTGTCACGCTCACTGTCTGTCTGTCAATCACACTAAATGTCTGTCAGTCACCCTCATCTGTCAGTCAGTCACACTCACTGGCTCTCTGTCAGTAACACTCCCTGTCTGTCTGTCAATCACACTCATTTTCTATCAGTCACACTCATCATTTAGACATTCACACTTACTGTCTGTGTCACACTCATTTTCAGTCAGTCACATTCACTGTCTGTCTGTCAGTCACAAACACTATCTGTGTCACAATCACTGATTCAATCACACTCACTGTCGGTCTCACTCACAATTGCCTGTAACTCACACTCACTGTCATTCACACTCGTCTCCCTGTCAATCACATTTACTGCTTTTTTCTGTCATAATCATTGTCAGTCACATGCATTGTCTGTTAGTCGGTCACACTCACTGTTTGTCACAACCACTAGCAGTCAGTCAAAGTTAGTGTCTGTCTGTGTCACACTCACTGTCTTTCTGTAAGTTACACTCATCTGTCTGTCAATCACACTCACTGTCAGTCACACTTGTCTGTCAGTCAGTCACATTCACTGTCTGTGTCACACTCACCGTCTGTCTGTGTTACACTCACTCACTCTCTGTCAGGCACACTCACTGTCTGTGTATCACACTCACTGTCAGTCAGGCATGCTTACTGTCTTTCACACTCACTGTCTGTCTGTAAGTCACACTCACTGTCTGTGTAACACTCACTGCCTATCTGTCAATCACACTCACAGTCAGTCACACTCATTTACCTGTCCGTGTCACACGCATTGTCAGTCAGTCACACTCACTGTCTGTCTGTGTTACAATCACGGTCTGTCTGTAAGTCACACTCACTCTCTGTTTCACACTCACTGTCTATCTGTCAATCACACTCACAGTCAATCACACTCATTGACTTTCTTGGCAACACTCATTGTCAGTTAATGGAAGAAAAGAAATATCCAGACACACCTGAGGTTTCTTCTAAAAGGTTGTCTTTTTACTTAAAACAAGGAAGTGGAGACGTTTCGGCTCCTCTCTGAGCCTTTATCATGTCGGACATGACAGGCTTTGTTCTCCTGTTTATTAAAACAGGTTGCATTGTGACATTGTTAGCATTGACATCTTTTGATATATTAATTTTAGTGCAAACTAACTACGCATGTACCATTTACCAGAGTGATGCATGCGCAGTGTTTAGCTTTACAGCCTAGAAAACCATGATGTGTAAGAGAACTTATAAACAGGCAATATTATAAATTATTGAATACATTATTATACATTATTCAATAAAAACTGCAAAGATACCCCCCGTGGAAACAGTATGTGAGCATCCTGCGAAAACTAGAACATACAAAGAAATGTCATATCAAATGTGGGGCTCAATCTCTAAATTTCAATCTACATGGAATGAAGCATTCCAACATCTTCGCACATCCAACCAGGATGCTCCTAGCCCCAAGGTCCGCCTGTCCATCTCACTTCTACTATAACTCCCTTCTTCCTAATCCTGCGACTCTCTCCAGCTGGCACATTCGCTGGTTCTCATACATCTCATTACTATTACCAGTTGCTCCTTTCTCGCCCTCTGTGGGGGTTGCAAGCACTAAATGCTTCTGTCGAAGCTGATAACCAGTGGGTAATTGTCTTACTCTGTTAGTAACTCAAGGAATCACTAGGCATAAATGTTTTGCCAATAACTTAAATGCACACAATCCTCTGTACCTTTGGATTTTTAAATGCTCTGTTTTTGTGACAATTTATTACATTTTGCTATCTTTGCCTCAGACGATACGCATTGTGGCGTGTATAATCATCTGCAATCCTCTGTATTCTTGTCATGTTGTGTTTGATATACAATATTGTATTTATTATACTTTTTTTTTATGTACTTACCTTTGCACTTTATCAGTGTGCACACTATGGCATAGAAACATAAAATGTGACGGCAGATAAGAACCATTCGGCCCATCTAGTCTGTCCAATTTTCTAAGTACTCTATTAGTCCCTGGCCTTGTGTCTATCCCACGCATGCTTAAACTCCCTCACTGTGTTAACCTCTACCACCTCAGCTGGGAGGCTATTCCATGCATCCACTACCCTCTCAGTAATGCATCCGAGAAATACTGCACTTGCGCCATTTTCTCCAGAAGAGCTATACACATGTATTGCCTTCTGTACAGAACTGCAATAGTTTATCAATTTACATACTACACTGACATTTGCCTGGGAAAGCGTGTAAATCAGGGGTGCCTAACAAGTAGATCCCCAGATGTTACAGAATTACAACTCCCATGATGCTTTGCATGCCCTTGCATGTCTTTAGAATGACAAAACCTCCAGGAAGTTATAGTTTTAAAACATTTGGGGATCTACCTTTTTGGCACCCCATGTGTAAATGAATACAGCACAAGCCTCTTTGAGTCTGCTATGGGACCTTTGTCTTTAGATTTTGTTAGCTTTCATGCAAATTCCTTTGATTCTGTATGTTTCTTAACGGTTACTCCAATTATCAACTACAATTTCTAAAATATAAGAGGCCACGAATTTGACTGTGTGTGAAGGATCTTCTACAATAGCATAAAAAATATTTTTTCATAAAACCTTTAAACAAACTAATGTGCATGTTTTGAAAAGTTCTCTCACAGCAATGCTGTAGTTTCCAAAGGTATAAAGGGCAGAACTTTTCATGTCCTCGAAAAAAGCATTTCTACTAAAAATCTCCCTAATTTGTTAACATTAGTCGGGGAACCATCCTCAAGAAGGCTACCAAAATAGGGCATCTGTCTACTCATAGGCGTGCGCACGGGGTGTGCCGGGTGTGCCTGGTCACACCCTAATCACATCTCTGTGCTGCACTGCCTTAGGGCAGACTAACATGTCAGGTCATGACACAGAAGGGGGCCCGGCGGCTTGCCCACAATGCAGCCGGGTGCGAGGCCCCTCCTGTCAGTCTGCCCCGATGGAGATCCAGCCTCAGTCTGCAGCTCCGCCGTGATTGAGCTGCAGACTGAAGTGTCTCGCGTCTCCAGCCTGTCAGAGCGTTGCCGCGGGTTACCACGGCAACGCTCTGACTGACTGGAGATCGCGAGACTCACCATGTGGTCTGCAGCTCACTCCCGGCGGAGCTGCAGACTGAAGAGAGAGGGCCCCCACTGGACCACCAGGGAAAGGTATTTAAACCCTATGCCCCCTGCCACTCACTGCCCCTCCACCCCCCTACCCCCTGTAAATGCCTCTCCACCCCCCTACCTCCTGTCACTGCCCTTCTACCCCCTCTAACCCCTGTCACTGCTCCTCTACCCCCTCTAACGCCTGTCACTGCCCCTCCACCCCTAACACCTGTCACTGACCCTCCACCCCCATTACCCCTCTCACTGCCTCTTCACCCCCACACCCTGTCACTGCCCCTCCACCCCCTAACCCCTGTCACTGCCCCTAACCCCTGTCACTGCCCCTCCACCCCCAACCCCTGTTACTGCCCCTCCACCCCCTAACCCATGTCACTGCCCCTCCACCCCCCTCTTACTCCCTCTCACTGCCCTTCACCCCCCACCCTGTCACTGCCCCTCCACCCTCTAACCCCATCACTGCCCCCTCCACCCCCCTAACCCTGTCCACTGCCCTCCACCCCCCACTCCCCTGTCACTGCCCTCCACCCCTTCCCCTCTCACTGCTTCTTCACCCCCACACCCTGTCACTGCCCCCCTAATCCCTGTCGTCCCTCTACCCAACCCCCTGTCCAACGTTCTCTACCCCCAACCCCTGCCACTGCCCCTCCACCCCCCTACCCCCTGTCGCCCACACAGTGCACCCCTCACAATCATACACACTGTACCCCACACACACTGTATCCCTTACAATTACACACACTGTACCCCTCACAATCACACCACACTGTACCTTTCACAATTACATACACACACTGTACCCCTCGCAATCACACACACTGCACCCCTTACACGCTGCACCGCTCACAATCATACACACACACTGTACCCCTTGCAATCACACACACTGCACCCCTTACACGCTGCACTGCTCACAATCACACACACACTGCACCACTCACAATCACACACACACACTGCACTGCTCACAATCACACACACACACTACACTGCTCACAATCACACACACTGCACCTATGTATATTTGTATTTGTATATATATATATATATGTGTTTGTGTATGTATGTACGCGGCGTGTGTGCACACCCTAATGCAACAGGCTGCGCACACCTATGTGTCTACTAAACAGTACCCAATAAGGAAAAACGGATGTCCAGTTTCTAAAGATGTTGGTCGAATTTCTGGTCATCTCAATAGATAATTACAAAATGCCATTAAAATTTGGAATTCCTAAAAAGAAACCGAAATCAAACCAAAATTGGTCCCCCTGCACATGTCTAGAGAAGGTGTTAATAGAAACAATGAATGTCAGGAGAGATAAAACAAGAAGCATGAAAGGACAGTATAACAAAGATCAAGAATGTGAAGAGTTTTTTTTTTTTTTCAGAAATTTGTTATTATTTTCAGTTTGCACGAAGGGATACAGAAGGAAGAGGGTAGGGGAACAGACATCATTTGTATAGTACGTCCCCATGCAAGGGGCAGACTTGTACAGTTAAACACAGCATTAATGTTACATCGCCATATGCTATATAAGTTAACTCATTTTGGAGTCTAATGTCTTGTCAGCTTATGGACAACGTCTTGCATCTCATGTCCCTTCCTTCTTTATTAATATAGGGGGGGGGGGAATAACTGGGAACACTGTAAGGGGGGGGTCGATCTATCACCTCCCGAAACCCATATATATATCCAATGTGGATATTTTACCAGTTATGTAGGTGTGCCTTTATGCTGCCGCCAGATTTCCCATTTGTCCCATGCTGTGGATTTAAAAAATCCGATTGTTTATTAAAATCTTCCTGTTCAGTACAGTTTCTTTTTAAACGTAAAAATTGGCCTTTTGGTATATTTCGTAGCCAAGGGTCATAATGGCAGCTTTTAATATCGATAAAACTATTGATATCAACTTGTTTAAAAAAAGTTTTTGTCTTGACCTGATTATTTGAAATAAAAATATTAAGATCTAAAAATTCTATGGAGGTTGGGCTCACATTTTTTGTTAATTTTATCCCCCAATCATTAAGATTAAGATAATTAAAAAAATGTAAAAAATTTTCTTCAGTACCTTTCCAAATAATAAAGATATCATCTATATATCTCCTGTAGAGGACCAAGTTTGCCCCAAAATCATGTCCTTGATATACAAATATACCAAAAGGCCAATTTTTACGTTTAAAAAGAAACTGTACTGAACAGGAAGATTTTAATAAACAATCGGATTTTTTAAAGAAACAGTTTTTACAAAAGGGGTATAAGGCAGAAGAATTAGATAAAAGCTTAGCTTTGGCTAATACTATAAAGAGGCCAGAATTGCTTAAGTATAAAGAAAAAGAAAAAGGTCTCAAGTCAGATAGAATCCCCTTTGTTTTTAATTTTGCGAGTAATATAGGGTGTTTAAAAAAGATTATCAATAAGAATTGGCACATCCTTCAACAAGAACATGACATCAAAGAGTTCTTGGGTGAAAGACCTAAGTTCATTTTTAGAGGTGCTAGAAATTTAAAACAAATTTTAACCTCTAATTATATTAATGGTGAGGAATCAAGAACTTTTTTAGATAATTGGTCAAAAAAGCAAAAAGGCTTTTTTCACTGTGGAAATTGCAACGCATGTAAGAGCACAGGTATAAGTGGAAGGAAGAAAGATTCCTTCCTATCCACTATAACTAAAAAACAACACTTAGTAGGTTCTTTTATTACATGTGAGTCAAAAAATGTTATTTATCTCCTACAATGTAAATGTGGACTACAGTACATAGGAAAAACGTCCAGAGCACTTAAAGTTCGTATAAGTGAACATGTTAGAAACATTAGGAAAGGTTTTCCTAATCATAGTGTTTCTAAGCATTTCCTAGAAACACATCAATCGAATCCTAAAGAGTTAGATTTTATGGCTATTCAAAAAGTTTCTAATAGCTGGAGAGGAGGAAATAACACTTTAAATTTAAGCAAAAAAGAGAGCTCTTGGATTTTTGAGTTACAAACCTTATACCCAAGGGGATTAAATTTAGATTTTGACATAGGGCCCATTTTATAAGCTTCTGAGATTTATATGATGTTTTACAGTGTTAAATTGGTAATATTTTATATATTTACATAATTTTATTATAGATTTTATATATACTCTTTTTAATTAATTGGGTTTATTTATATATATTTTTTGAATAATTTGTTCTCTCCTTTGTCTTCTTCCCTCTTTTCCCATCTGTTTTTTGCCTGAGAAAAAATTTGCACTTTATATGGACCTATTTAGGATTTATTTCCTATAAAAGACTTATTCTATTTTATTATATAAAACGGAAGTGACGTTTTCTGCTTGAATCTCTCTGGAAAGATGAAATTGTAAACACGAAAAAGCGGAAATGACGCAACCGGAAGTGACGTATCGGCACCTAGACCGGAAGTCACATGACGAACAAGTGTGCGAGTCACATGATCGGCAACAACGTGAGCAACAAGCCCACACATCCTTCTAAGAAGGTCATAATAGAAAGTATAAGGATTAGGAGGACGCCATATTGGGAGGGGAAAATGACCCGGAAAACCCTTATATGGTCGAAAAGGGCGGATTTTGTGATTAATTACCATATGTATGTAATGTTTTAATTATATGTGTATTATATAAGTATGTTATTGTGATTTATTGTTCATTGCATCTGAGGAAGACCAATGGTATGGTCGAAACGCGTTATGCTTAATTTTATAATATCTTCATTGGAATAAAAGATTTTTCTACTTACCTTGAGTTCCTGACTGTATCCAGACGATACTTCTTATCTGTACTTGGTGGGACCAGTTGGTATACAGCTCTGCTTGGAATTATTTGACGAGTTTTTACAAGTAGAGAGCCGACTTATATGGCTCTCTAAATTGTGAGTGTTCCCAGTTACTATCATTTATGCATAGTATTGTTTACATATTACCCTATGATAGCTATTTATGTTACAGATTATCACATTTTCCAGCGTGTGCGCAAAACTTCCTCTTTTTATCCAATTTTATAACTCTCATTACAATCAAACAACACACTCACATACAGTTTAAATAAGTCATCAGTGAATTATGGTGAATTAATTTTCAAAGTCAGGAAACACTGCCAAGCTGTGACTATAGTTTCATTTTTTTTTAAAAACACGAAATTGTCAAGGGGGCAGAGCTAGCCCTATTGTGATGATGCCATGGATTAGTCCAGAATTTTAGAAACTTTGGTCGGAATAAATTCACTGTTTAGTAAATACACTGCACAGTCACGCACAATGACACACAGAGCAGTGGTTGCTTCATAACAGGTTCCGCCCACACGCAGATCAGTATTATTGGCTCCTGATTCCCTCTCAGGGATTTTCAGTTAAATATCTCTAATAAGATTAACCCCTTAATGGAGAACTATGCCGCACTGCACAAAATGGGCTTAAGCGCTGTTAGGGCGGCATGGTATGTCCTACCAATTGGAGCCGAAAATCAGAGCTAACTGCAAACCACAAGCTGACACTGACCCAAATCGGTGACCAAACTACTGAGCAGCCGACGGTGTACACAGGGATACCTCACACGACCCCATATGGCATTCAAAGTAACCCGATTGAGGCCTAAGGGCCTACCTGAGCTTGAGCTGGGATGAGGCGGCCGCTCTCCCAGTTCTCCGACCGGCGCTTTGCTGTGTGTCCCCCTTTTGACCGGCGGTTGTTATCCCGGTCCCCACGGGCAACCACCTCAGACTACGGCTGCACCCAAGCACCCGTTCTGCCGCAGATTACAGACCGGGCAGTTCACCACAAGATGACTGACAACCAAAAGCCTTGTGCATAGCATTCTGCTAAGACAACCCAGAGCACATATGAGCTCATATTGGAGCGCTTGGCTAAGACGTTCGACAGCTCCTGGGCAAGTTATCTGCCCACCTCGAGACGCCAAAGCCTCCGGCTGCGGAGAGTAAGCGAAGGGAAGAGAGGCGTGAGAAGAGCAGGCCCCCCTGGGCACTCCTTCCACAGCAGTGTTACAGCCTTCCACGATGAGCCTACCACACCTGGCACTAACATCTACCAGCTCTGACAGACACATTCACACACGACGCACCCACCATTTTACCCATTTTGGGGAGACAGTGCCTGACTCATGCAACATGCAAACATCCACTGAGAGGTAGAACCCGTGGTTTTACAAGCCTGTAACTCTAACATGATGTTTATGCAATTATAACACTCTCACGCATATCTAGCCTGAAACACTCAGTTTTTCGTTTGTACATGCCATCGTAGTATACTCATGAATACCCAGCCTGATTTATCATGTTTTTAGCATGTCTACTTTACAACAATCCATTCATGAATATCTAACCTGATAAAACGTGTACCATTATAAAAATTTGGCTGCCTCGCTTAGGAGTTTCCTCTGTTAAACGCTGAAATATCTGTCTTATGTCTATCTGATTTAACTTCTTTCATACTATTCTGTAATTTGTGAATCAACTGCCACAATAAAAGAAAGATTGACAAAATAAATAAATACATTTTTTAATTCTACGTCTACATTTATGTATTATTTTTATCTAATTATGTAATTTTATTAATTACAATTTTATGGACGTGACAACCCATAATTTAAATTGCAAGCCTTATATTTGACCCAAAAACTAAAAACTGTACTCGTGAGGAATCACTGAACACAAATATGATTGTTTTAGAACAGTAAAATTTATAATGCTGATGAAATCATCAGTGAAAAGGCAGTTTTTGCAATAAACTACTATGAACACTTACTTTGGCCAGGATTTGTGACTAAGTTGCGACTAAAAAAGACTGGACATACCCAGTTTTGAATACCCTGGGTTGTCTACTTTTGCAAATGGTATGCCATGATGAGGTTATTTTTCATTCCTAGGCTGCCATACGGTCTCAAATGCAACATAGGCCCAGCAAACCAATCTGGCAAATTTCAATGTTTAAAAAGTAAATTGAGGAAAGCCCTATATTTGACCCTGTAACGTTCCAAAACATGTACAATTGCCTCCATCCTTAAGGGGTTAATAAATCATTTATTACATTCAATTCTCAGAGGAGGCATTATTCCCACATCCCCAGTATATAGCATGAAGCGGCTCAGTGAAGTTGGCAGTGAAGGTGTGTATGTGTCTGATTGGATCACACAGCTCATAAAAGGACAGCCGCCCAGCCTCATAGTCCAGGTATATCCCTAATCTCTGGCTGGAAGGGTGGTGAGGTAGCTCGATAACTTTACTGTCATGTCTCACTTCATACTGGCTATTATACCACCACCTCCCGAAACCCCAGGACTTGTTATTATTATATCCAATCCATGATTGACCTCCTTTTTTGGCTACACTGCGATAGGCCATCCCTAACCTCCACCACCCTGACTTACTGTCCTCCACTTCCCAGTAATGTCGCCCTGAGGAGAAACTCCTGGAGCTTAAAGTCTGTTTATACTGAAATCTCTCTGGTGTGTCTGGGCCACTCTGGTTTATTATTGACCAGGATACAGTTTTCATATCACCTGATACAGTTACATTATTACCAGCTGTGTGTGCATCCAATAATATGTCTGAAGCCGTGTTTACATCCAGTAACATGTCTGAAGCTAATTCTACCCCCAGTAATATATTAGCTGATACATGGCGCTGTCTCTTTACTCCGGTCACAATCCGAGCTAAGCCTGAGTGTAAGGTCACTGAGATCAGACACATGTCCAGATCCCCTACAGCACGGACCATTTTACCATCTCTGTATCTGTCCTCATTATCTCCCTCTTCAGCATCACAATTGTCAGCATTATCTGATTCCTGTCCTTGTAAGACAGTTAATGGGTCTGTCATGCTACACAGCTCCTCAATGTGACCCATCTTTCTGGACAGCTTCTCCTTCTTTATTTCAAGCTGCCGGATTAGATCTGAGACTTTTAGTGAAGCCTGCTTTTCCTGTCTGGAGATCTCACTCAGGACTTGCTTCTCTAGGACTTCCAGCTGTTCCCTGATGTCCCTAATCAGGGCAGTGACTTCCTCTGTTACCGCAGCTGCATTTTCTTTCACCTCTTTCCCGAGCTCCTGTAGGCTCTCGATTCTTCTTTCAGCCTCCCCTCTCGTTGCGGTCAGTTTCTTCAGAGTATTTCTCAGTTGCTGCTTCTTCTTCTCAGAGGCCTCATTCAGAGTGTCCATCTGGTGCCCCCTGTGATCTCCGACGAGGCTGCAGGACACACAGATACAGGCGGAATCCTCAGAACAGAAATATTCCAGGACCTTCTTGTGGACGGAGCATTTCCTGTTCCCCAGTGAAGTGGTGGGATCAGTTAGGACATGTTCTGCTGACTTGCTGTGGACCCTCAGGTGGGTTTCACACAGAGAAGCTTCACACAGCAGACATGTTTTAGCAGCAGGTACAGGAGACTGAACACAGTAAGTACAGGGGATCCCAACCTCCCCCTGCTCTGGGTGAGTAAATAGGAAATTCTCCACTATGTTAGCCAGTTTTATAGCTCTTTGCAGGTCTGGTCTTGTCTTAAATAATTGTCTACATTCAGGACAGGAATATCCTCTCACAACCTGTGTGTCCAGCACATTTTCAATGCAGACCCGGCAAAAACTATGTCCACATGGCAGGGTTTCAGGATTTGTATAAATGTTCAGACAGATGGAGCAGGTCAGTTCGTCTTTCAGATCAGCAGATGCCATCATTAAAAGAATCAAGAAACAAACCGTAATCTTTCTGTTTTCTCAGCAAGCAGTGGGCGTGTTTTACCACATACGACACCCAGGGGGCGGACATTTTGTATCATAGGATTTCACTTCCTGACTGTTAACCCTGAGAGTTTGTGATGATCTGTCTTTTCTCTAACACAATATTTAGAGTGTAGTTTCAGAGTTACATAGGCTGAAAAGAGACATGTGTCCACCAAGTTCAGCATTTCTCACATATCTTCCAAAAGAAGGCAAAAAAAAACCCCCACAAAAAAACAGTGTAAAGCACTTTTCAATTGCAACAACTAAAAAACAAAAATCCATTTTAACCTTAGAATGGCAGTGAGGTCTGTCCTTAGATCAAGAAGCTGTTACCCCACTAATTAAAAATGGCATCCCTGCATTTTCTGGTTTTATTTATCCAGTTGATGTTTAAACATCTGTACCTTAATGTAAAAAACAAAACAAAAACAACCTTTTCTTTTCCTTAGAATACATCTCCTTTCTTATAATCTAAATGTGTGTCCTATGTATAGTCTTGCCCCGATTATATTTGTATAATTCTGTCACATTCCCTCTAAGGCACCGTTTTTCAAAAATAATCAAATTTACATTTGTTAAAGGGACACTACAGTCACCAAAACAACTAAATGAAGCAGTTTTGGTGTATAGATCATGCCCCTGCAGTCTCACTGCTCAGTTCTCTGCCATTTAAGAGTTAGGTAAATAACTTTGTTTATTGTTATTTTATTATTTATATAGCGCCATCAGATTCCGTAGCGCTGTACAATGGTTGGACTAACAGACATGTAATTGTAACCAGACACTGGACGTACAGGAACAGAGAGGTGGAGGGCCCTGCTCAATGAGCTTACATTCTAGAGGTTATGAACCCTAGTCACACCTCCCTGCGTGTGACTTGCACAGCCTCCCTAAACACTTCCTGTGAATAGTCGTATACAGTTTATCCTTCCTTTATTGCAAGTTCTGTTTAATTTAGATTTTCTTATCCCCTGCTATGTTAATAGCTTGCTAGACCCTGCAAGAGCCTTCTGTATGTGATTAAAGTTTAACTTACAGACAGAGAAGCTGTGTAATGTTGAAAATTCACAAAATATACAAGTGATGCATAATATTAAATGTATGCTTACTAATGCAAGGAGCCTAAATAACAAAATGGGGGAACTAGAGGCATTAGCATACACTAAACAATATGATATAATAGGCATAACTGAAACATGGTGGGATGAGACACATGACTGGGCAGCTAACTTAAATGGGTACATGTTATTTAGGAAGGATAGGAAAAACAAGAAGGGTGGTGGGGTATGTTTGTATGTCAAACATGATTTAAAGCCAAATGTTAAGCAAATGGAATGCGAGGAGGATAATGTGGAAGCTTTATGGGTAAATATCTGCTTGGGGGAAAAGAAGGGAAACCAACTATTGGTTGGGATATGTTATAAACCACCTAATGTTAATATTGACGAGGAACAACAGCTGTTTGAGCAAATTGAGAAAGCTGCAAATCTGGGTAACACTTTAATTATTGGAGATTTTAATTACCCGGATATAAATTGGGACAGAGGGACTAGTGCCTCAGCAAAGGGAATTAGGTTTTTAAACTTGTTAAATGACACCTTCATGTCACAACTTGTACAAGCACCAACTAGAATGGATGCTTGTCTGGACCTGGTTTTAACAAACAACGTTGATCTTTTGACCAACATTCAAGTAGGTGAGCACTTGGGAAATAGTGATCACAATATAGTGTCCTTTGAAATAAACTCAAAAAAACAAAAGCACATGGGGAATACTAAAACATATAATTTTTAAAAGGCTAATTTCAATAAGTTAAGGAAAGCTTTACAATATATTGACTGGCATAAACTCTTTAGTGAAAAGAACACTGAGGATAAATGGATCATCTTCCAACAAATATTACAAAGGTACATTTCTCAGTATGTACCGTTGGGAAATAAATATAAAAGAAACAAATTAAAACCAATGTGGCTTAGTAGAGAAGTAAAACAAGAGATTACAACTAAGAGAAGGGCATTTAAAGCATTTAAATCGGACAAATCAGATGCATCTTATAAAAGATATAAGGATGCAAATAATGCGTGCAAAAAGGCAATTAGACTTGCTAAACTTCAAAATGAAATAATGATAGCTGAAGAGAGCAAAACCAACCCCAAAGCATTTTTTAAGTACATAAATTCTAAAAAAAACAAAATGAAAGTGTAGGTACACTAAAAACTGAAACGGGGGTGTTAATTAATGAAGACCAGGAAAAGGCAGGAATTTTAAATAACTATTTCTCCTCCGTATATATTAAGGAAGAACCCATGGCAATAGATGTGCAAATGATTGCTACTAAAAACTTGCAGAATAATTGTAATTGGTTAACTCAAGACAAGGTGCTGCAGCAACTAAAGAAAGTTAATATAAACAAAGCTCCAGGGCCTGACGGTATCCATCCACGTGTACTTAAGGAACTAAGTGCAGAAATAAGTGAACCTCTGTTTTTAATCTTTCAAGATTCTTTTCTTTCAGGAAGTGTTCCGGAGGATTGGAGGAAGGCAGATGTGGTTCCTATATTCAAAAAGGGTTCAAAATCCTTGCCTGGAAATTATAGACCTGTGAGCTTAACTTCTGTGGCTGGTAAAATATTTGAAAGTTTATTAAGGGATAATATTCAAGAATTCCTTGAGAAGAACATGGTTATCAGCAAAAATCAGCATGGTTTTATGAAGCACAGGTCATGTCAAACTAACTTGATTGCGTTCTACGAAGAAGTAAGTAGAAGTATAGATCAGGGTGTTGCAGTGGATGTGATCTATTTGGATTTTGCCAAGGCATTTGATACAGTTCCATACAATAGATTAGTGTTCAAACTCAAGGAAATCGGTCTAGATGAAAATGCTTGTTCTTGGGTAGAACATTGGCTTAAAAACAGAGTACAAAGAGTTGTCATTAATGGTAAATTTTCAAGCTGGACAGAGGTGGCAAGTGGTGTCCCTCAGGGGTCTGTTCTGGGACCCCTTCTATTTAACATGTTTATAAATGATCTTGAAGACCGCATTGAAAGTCATGTTTCAGTGTTTGCAGATGACACCAAACTTTGTAAAACAATACAATGTGAGCAAGATATTACTTTGCTGCAGAGGGACTTAGATAGACTGGGGGACTGGGCACTCAAATGGCAGATGAAATTTAATGTTGAAAAATGCAAAGTTATGCACTTCGGCATAAAGAATACACAAGCAACGTATACCCTTAATGGAAGCGAATTAGGGATAACAACATATGAAAAGGACTTGGGAATTGTTATAGACAACAAGCTATGCAACAATGTGCAATGTCAATCAGCAGTAGCCAAGGCCAGTAAGGTATTGTCATGCATGAAAAAGGGCATTCATTCTCGGGACAAGAATATAATTTTGCCTCTTTATAAATCACTGGTAAGACCCCATATTGAATATGCTGTGCAATTTTGGGCACCTGTTCTAAAGAAGGATATTATGGCACTAGAAAAAGTGCAGAGGCGGGCTACAAAATTAATAAAAGGAATGGAACATATCGGCTATGAAGAAAGGTTAACAAATTTAAACCTATTTAGTTTAGAAAAACGTCGCCTGAGAGGGGATATGATAACATTATACAAATATATTTGGGGCCAATACAAACCATTGTGTGGAAATCTATTCACAAACCGGACTTTACATAGGACACGAGGCCATGCGTTTAGACTGGAAGAAAGAAGATTTCGTCTAAGGCAAAGGAAAGGTTTTTTTACTGTAAGAACAATCAGGATGTGGAATTCTCTGCCTGAGAAGTGGTTTTATCAGAGTCCATACAGATGTTCAAACAGCTACTAGATGCATACTTGCAAAAACAGAATATTCAAGGATATAATCTTTCAATGTAGGGTAATAACTGCTTGATCCAAGGATAAATCTGACTGCCATTCTGGGGTCAAGAAGGATTTTTTTTCCTAGTTTGTTGCAAAATTGTGCTTCAAACTGGGGTTTTTTGCCTTCTTTTGGATCAACAGCAAAAAACAAATGTGAGGTAGGCTGAACTTGATGGACGCAAGTCTCTTTTCAGCTATGTAACTATGTAACTATGTTACAGAGAAAGAGATACATTGGTTTAAGGTAAATTACATCTGATTGAAAGTGAAACCAGTTTTTATGCAGTTTCAGTCAGAACCAGAGGAGGTGTGACAAGCGTTGCATAAACAGAAAAAAGTGAGTTAACTCCTAAATGGCAGTGAATTGAGCAGTGAAACCTGAGAAGCATGATCTACACACAAAAAAGTGCTTTATTAAGCTAAAGTTGTTTAGGTGACTGTAGTGTTCCTTTAACCTTTCTTCACAATTAAAATGTTCCATTCCCTTTATTAATTTGTGGCAGTCCTCTGCACTTTTTCTAGTGCCATAATATCCTTCTGTAGAACAGGTGTCCAAAATTGCTAATTTGTCCAGAGCCTGCAGTAGCTTTTCTCAGCTTTCTCTCTTTGAGGCTGGTTTCTCAATAATATTTCAATATAATGAATTTTTATTGTACAAAGGTGAAAATTTAGATAAACAGTTGTAACCAAAATTACTCAACCCCCATTGAAAATGAGGTTTTGTCATACCTGGTGTCCCGCGCCGTCCCGGTCCCGCCGTCCGTCCTCTCATGTCGGGCGGTGTGGATTGCTGGCGGGTGTTGCACGCGCGCGCCTCCAGGGGCGCGCGCACATCTGGGAGAGCGCACGGGGACGTGCGCGCGCGCACAAGGTAACTGGCAGGGATGACGTGGACTCCAAATTTAAAGAGATAGTGGCCTATTGCCACTATCTATTTATACCTCCTTCAATTCTGTCCCTGCCTATCAGTATTCACCTTGCCCTATATTAACCTCCTTCTGACATCACTTCCTTGCCCTGTCGTGGTTTATTATAGCCCGAGAGTGCGTTCTGAGTAGTTGTCTTTTCTCTGGTTTCTGACTTTGGCTTGTTTATTGGTTATTCTCATTTCTGGCTACCTGACCTTGGCTCTGTCTATTTCACTTTCCCGTATCTCTGTATTCCTGACCTTGGCGTGTTTGACTATTCTTATCTCTCGTTCCTACGTTAAGTCCGGCCACTTTAAGGTCCGGTAATACGTCTATCTGTGTTCGCCTTTATTGTTCTCTGGTTTGTGTGTTGGGGAGTATTAACCTTGACATTACGACAGGGCCATGGACCCTGCAAACCTGGGACAACAAATGGCTGCATATGAAAATAGAATAGAGGGGTTAGATCATATAATGGATCAGTTTGCCCAAGCCTTGCAAACTATCCTCACCAGAACTGCATGTCTTCAACCAGAGGTAGAGGACAGTAGTTCTCAAGGTGCTGTCGCTCTACCATCTGTGACTCATTCCACTCCATCTATTCGTCTAACTCCCCCTCCTCGTTATTCCAGGGATCCATCATTATGCAGGGGATTTTTGAACCAGGTGGGCGTACATTTTGAAGTAGCCCCTGATTCATTCCTTACTAATAGGTCCAAGATTGCGTTCATTCTGAACCTATTAGAAGGTAGAGCCCTGGCTTGGATAAATCCCTTGTGGGAGAATAATGACGTGATTGTCTTTAATTTTTAATTGTTCCTCAGGACTTTCCGTAATGTGTTCAATCCCCCAGGCAGAAAGAGACTAGCAGCTAGAGCGTTGTTAAAAATCAAACAAGGATCTAGAACAGTGGCCGATTATGCTTTCGAATTTCGCACCTTGGCCTCTGAATTGACTTGGAATAACAGTGCTCTAACAGCTGTGTTTTTTGAGGGCCTTAATGAGTCTTTACAGGAAGAAGTGGCAGCCAGGGATTTACCAGAACTCATAGAAGACCTTATACAGTATATGTCAGACATTGATATCAGGGTTAGACAGAAGCATCTTCATTTAGATAGACAAAGGAGGGCTTTAGGAAGACTCACTCCTCATTCAATGATAACCGGATTACCCGCTTTGCCAGCCCCTGAATCTGATTCTGAACCCATGCAACTAGGTAACACAAGACTCTCTGAGGCTGAGAAGTCTTACAGAAGAAGAGAAGGGTTGTGCCTATACTGCGGTCATAAGGGGCATTTTCGTAACAGTTGCCCATCACATCCGGAAAACTCTACCACCTAAGCTCGTTCAGGGGACCGGCCTTGGGTGTGATGTCTCTGTGCCCTAAAACAAATTCATACATATGTGTTATGCCTGTAACCCTATTCTGGGAAAGTGTTAGTCATCTCACTATGGCCCTCATTGACTCTGGATCTGCAGTCAACTTTATTGACCAGACCTTTGCTACAGCTCTTTCTCTTCCTTTGGAGGAGAAAGAAACACCCTTGGCCTTTGAGGCCATAGATGGTAGACCATTAACAGTCCCCTATGTTACGCATCAAACTAAGACTGTTATTTTAGGTGTTACCCATAAAAAGAAGTTGTCTTTCCAGGTCATTTCTTCCCCTTTTTGCCCTTTGGTTCTTGGTTTTCCATGGTTACAAAAACATAACCCTGTTATTGACTGGAGAGAAAGTCAAATTCTGTCTTGGAGTACTTCCTGTAACCATTCATGTTTAAGTCAGGTTAAACCCCTTTGTTCTCTTAATGTTCCATCAGCTCTTCCACTTTCCACTAACGTACCGCCACAATACCAAGACCTGGCGAAGGTCTTTGATAAAATATAGGCAGACCGTCTTCCTCCACATAGGCCTTATTATTGTGCTATCAAACTGCTCCCTGGTACCATGCCCCCCCAAGGGGAGGGTTTACCGTCTTTCTCAAAATGAAAATAAGGTTATGGAGGAATATGTACAAGAATCTCTAAGTAAGGGGTTTATCAGACGTTCCTCTTCCCCTGCAGGGGCTGGTTTCTTTTTTGTTGGCAAAAAAGAGGGGGATTTGCGTCCCTGAATAGATTATACGGGTCTGAATAAAATTACTCTAAAAAATGCGTATCCTATACCACTGATAACAGAGCTCTTTGACAGGCTTTGTGGTTCTAAAATCTTTACCAAATTAGACCTTAGAGGAGCCTACAATCTAGTTCGCATTAAAGAGGGAGACGAATGGATGACAGCATTTAATACTCGAATCGGTCATTATGAGTACACGGTAATGCCCTTTGGTCTATGTAATGCCCCGGCAGTCTTCCAAGAATTTATCAATGATGTCTTACGAAATTATTTGCACACTTGCGCTATTGTGTATCTTGATGACATTCTTATTCATTCTCCTAATATTCAGATACATCACCAACAAGTTAGAAATATTTTACAGACCCTTCTTGCTAATGACTTATATTGCAAACTTGAAAAATGTCTGTTCGACCAGACTTCAGTTTTTAGGGTATATAATTTCTACTGATGGATTTCAAATGGACCCCAAAAACTATCTTCTATTCTTGAATGGCCCTTACCCATTGGTTTGAAGTCCATACAGAGGTTCATTGGATTCGCTAACTATTATAGAAAATTTATAAAGGGCTTTTTCCAGATTCTAGCACCAATCACAGCTATGACCAAGAAGGGAGCTAATCATGTCAATTGGTCTGCGGAAGCCAAAGCTTTTTTCACTCTCTTGAAGAAATCTTTTGCCTCAGCTCCCGTCCTGGTACATCCAGACCCCTCTCGACCCTTCATCCTTGAGGTTGATGCCTCCGAGATCGGTGTGGGGGCTATCCTTTCCCAGAGGGAATCTCCTACTGCTCTGTTGCATCGTTGTGGATTCTTTTCTCGTAGGCTGACACCTGCTGAAAAGAATTATGATATCGGTAATAGAGACTTATTAGCCATAGTATCAGCTCTCAAGGAATGGCGTCACTTACTTGAGGGATCTACGGTTCCTATCATGATTCTCACCGATCATAAGAATTTATACTATTTGAGTGACGCTAAGAGGCTTTCGCCCAAACAAGCCCGCTGGGCCCTTTTTCTTTCCCCCTGCAATTATAGACCGGGTAATCGGAACACCAAAGCAGATTCTCTTTCCAGACAGTTTGCCACTCTTGATAAAGAGGAGGTCAGACCAGAACCCATTATACCTCCTGAGAGAATCATTGCTTTTACTAGAATCAGAGTCTCTTCCCCTCTTCTGCACAAGATCCAAAGGGTCTAAGATAGGGCACCTAGTGATAAGCCTGTTGATAAATTCTACGTGCCTCCAGAGCTGAGAGGGGAAGTATTCAGCCATTACCATGACAGTAAAATGGCTGGACATATGGGGGTATCTAAGACCATTGATTTAATTACACGACAGTATTGGTGGCCGTCTCTTAGAAAGGAAGTTGAAGCTTACGTATCATCGTGTGACGTTTGTTCCCAATCTAAACCTTCTCATCAAGTACCATGTGGTCTTCTTCATCCTCTTCCTTTGCCGTTAGTTCCTTGGTCTCATCTGTCTATGGATTTTATAGTAGAGTTGCCACAATCTAAGGGTTTTACTGTCATTTTGGTTATAGTTGATCGTTTCTCTAAAATGGCGCATTTCGTACCTTTGAGAAAATTGCCTTCTTCTGCTGAATTAGCCAGTATATTCACCAAGGAAATAATACGACTACACGGAATGCCAGACGTCATTGTGTCTGATAGGGGTTCACAATTTATTTCAAAGTTTTGGAGGGGTTTTTGTAAAGACATGGGTATTGAACTCGCCTTGTCTTCAGCCTATCATCCTCAAACGAATGGTGCTGCTGAAAGGACTAATCAAAGCCTTGAACAATATCTCCATTCTGGGCTGAATTCGCCAGGAATAATGCTACGCACTCTGCTTCTGGTCACAGTCTTCTTTGTCACGTATGGTCGTCATCCTAATATTCTTCCAGCTTCGTTTTCTCACAAGGGAATGCCGGTGTTGGATGAACACTTATCCACTGTACATGACACTTGGAGAATGGTTCATGCCATCTTGGAGAAGACTATGCTTACTCAGAAAGCCTTTGCTGATAGGCACCGTAGGGCGGCACATTCTTATGTTGCTGGTGATAGAGTTTGGTTATCCACTCGTAATCTGCGCTTACGCGTTCCTTCAATGAAGTTGGCTCCTAAGTTCATTGGTCCTTACAAGGTTTTGCGAAGGATCAATCCTGTTTCCTATGCTTTGGATTTGTCCAAAAACCTTTGTGTGCCCAACGTCTTTCATACGTCCCTCCTGAAACCGCTTATATGCAACAGTCATTCCCGTTCCCAACCTCGTCCTCCTCCTGTTTTGATTCATGGTCAAGAGGAGTATGAGATCCAACTTATTGTCGACTCCCGATTCCCCATGGGTTTGCTTCAGTACCTGGTTCATTGGAAAGGTTATGGGCCCGAGGAGCGCTCATGGGTTCCTGCTTCTGAGGTCCATGCGACCCGACTCCTTAGGGCGTTCCATGCTAGGTTTCCTTCTCGCCTTTCTTGTGTTCCTCCAGTGGGCGTTCCTTCGGGGGGGTTCTGTAATACCTGGTGTCCCGCGCGGTCCCGCCGTCCGTCCTCTCATGTCGGGCGGTGTGGATTGCTGGCGGGCGTCTCATCTGGGAGAGCGCCCGGGGACGTGCGCGCGCGCACACACAAGGTAACCGTCAGGGATGACATGGACTCCAAATTTAAAGAGATAGTGGCCTATTGCCACTATCTATTTATACCTCCTTCAATTCTGTCCCTGCCTATCAGTATTCACTTTGCCCTATATTAACCTCCTTCTGACATCACTTCCTTGCCCTGTCGTGGTTTATTATAGCTCGAGAGTGCGTTCTGAGTAGTTGTCTTTTCTCTGGTTTCTGACTTAGGCATGTTTATTGGTTATTCTCATTTTTGGCTCCCTGACCTTGGCTCTGTCTATTTCACTTTCCCGTATCTCTGTATTCCTGACCTTGGCGTGTTTGACTATTCTTATCTCTCGTTCCTACGTTAAGTCCGGCCACTTTAAGGTCCGGTAATACATCTATCTGTGTTCGCCTTTATTGTTCTCTGGTTTGCGTGTTGGGGAGTATTAACCTTGACAGGTTTATTGTCAGTATGTACAGACTTTCATCTGCTTGCAATAAACAAATCAATTGAAACTGCTCAACACAATGAATGCTTCAAGTGGTATACCCAATTTCAATTGAAAATGCAACTTTTAATGACTTCTTCAGTCTCACCATTATTTAACCCACTGAATAGAATCCCTCACAACCGCACAATATGCAAACAGGTGTTGTCTGTTCTGCATATCAAGCACACCTGATGCAACTAATCAAGGGCATCATTAGTTACACCAGGAGTGCTTGAGCCGAAACAACTGAACTGGCTAGGGGTTTAAGTGTCATGTTTGACTGCATGCTAGAAATATGGCTAAGTCAAAGTAATGGTTCACAAAGTTAAGAGAAGAGACCATTGACCTTCACAAACAAGGAACAGGATAAAAAAAGATAGTGAAGGCACTGAATGTTCCTAGAGACACCGTTCGAAGCATAGTTCTGTTCTTTCTCCATCTCTGTTCTTCAGGCCTCACTTTACACATTTACAGAACCATCAATACTGAAGCTCTGCATTTAACGCCCTGCAGCAAATCCCACAACTCTCAGGTACTGACTAAAGCTCGGAAGATACTCCACCTCATTTATCCTTGCATTGCTACCATATTATCATGTGTTACTATCGAATTGTTACCATTTATACTTCTAGTTTGCCACTGTAATTGTCTGTGCATGCAGTTTGTATTTGTCATTTAATGTTTCTGACCAATATTTCATGTACACAGTTATTAATATTTTGATAGAATTTGGTTGCTAAACTTTTCAATTGTATACAACACATGGCTACTCTACCCCCTTCCCTCTCCCCCTCTTTCCTATGCTCCTCCTGGCTGTAAATACCTTCATATAACTGTTCCTTCTCCATCTCTGTTCTTCAGGCCTCACTTCACACATTTCCAAAACCATCAATACTCAAGCTCTGCATTTTTCCTCAGCGGCTACACTACCTGGATGGGACAGAAAAAGGAAGCTATCAATGGGTGCAACCAGATTTCTGAGAAGGCGTGAGTGAGTGACTGCAAAAGACCTGCAACAATACTTGGTGGAAACAGGTACTGAGGTTTCAGTGAGCATAGTAAGTTGTGTACTACACGCGAAAGGTTTTCATGCCAGAACTCGAAGCTGTACACCACTACTGACTCAAAAGCACAATAAAAATTGGCTCCGTTATGCTCAAAATCATTTAAATAAGCCACAGAAGTTTGGGGATTCTGTTCTGTGGATAGCTGAAACAAAACAGGAACTTTTCAGCCCAATGGATCAGCGGTATGTCTAGAATTAGAAGGAAGCAAGCAAATATTGAAAAGAACACCATTCCTATAGTTAAGGGTGGTGGTGGTGCTACTACTGCAACAGATTCTGGGTGGGCATATACAAATTAGTTTAACAAAGAATAACATTTATGCCTCAATATTCAATTTTAAACATGGATTCCATAGATTTTGTTTTTGCTGTATACAACTGCTTTGAAACACAACTCAGGAAGAGATGCAAAGCAAGTGAACCACTCATGGACAGCTGTTTTGATTTTAATGCAACTCATCAGTATGAGGTTGGTTACTGGCTTGCTATTGAGGCACCCCCCTTACGTCTACCCAGCCACACGGCCACCCACCAATACCATGGTGATTTACTCCAGTACTGGAAGTACCCGCCACATTTCCGGATGTGGTAGGGAGGAGAGGGGAGGGTAGGGGCATCACTCCTCATGGCCAAAACTGGCAAAACATAGGGGGGAGTGGGGCAGGATTTGCAACTAAATCAGTACACACACGCCAAGCCCAGGGGACCCGTTTGGTAATCTAAACTACAGGAGGGGACAATGACACCTATATACCAGGATCAAATATCCACAGTTTCACAGTCACTTCTCAGGGAATTGTGAGTCCATTATAAACGAACAAATAGGGACCTGCACGTGCCCGCAACAAAACCTCACACAACTCTATACCTATATGCTATGTATCTACTCTTACTGTGAGACTTGCGTGTCTCATTTCTCTTTACTCATGTGGAGATCTGCGTATCTTGATTTACCAGATGTTATTTATCATATTTGAAACCTGCGTGTTTCCTCATCCTCACCACCTGCATTTTATCTGAAAATTTGAAAAAAAAAATTAATAAACAGGTATTTACAAAAAAAAAAAGATGGGATTTTGGGTGCTTTTTTCTTATACATGTGGCAGCTTAACCTTCCCAAAACAGAGTCTCTTCTTTCTGGAAATATTGTAGTTAAGAAAGGAGATGCATCGACTGCAGGAATATCCTAAAATCCAGATAGGGATGAGCCAATATGGAAAATAAGAGCAGAAAGTGGAATATGGTGTAGTATTAAAATAAAATGTACTTACAATTTTCTGGAGCCTGTTTTTGGCTCCCGATGTCTGCGTCTGAATGGTACGATCCCCATCTAAGGACATATTGGTGGTCTCTGTTGGAAGGCGTCGTCAGTAGAAGTAGAAATATCCTTTTTCAGTGCTACCACAGTGTAGGTGGTATACTCCCCACCAAGGAAATCACTCCAATTAAAATCTTCAAAGGTAAAAAGTAGGATGGTCCAAAGTACATAAAATAATTAGTTTTGTTAGAAAACAAATAATAAAATCAATTACAGTATAAAAACACTAACACATTTCACCTTAAATCAGGCTTTTGCAAAGTGTTAGTGTCTTGGACCTACTCTGTTAAAATAGCATAAAAATAAAAAATAAAAGTCAGATGATGTCATCAATTAACAGAAAAATGGTGTAAAGTAGAATAAGCAATAAAATGATAGAAAGGAAAGAGGGTGTAAGAGTACATGTAGAAAAAGTACTTTTACAACTGCTTTGAAACACAACTCAGGAAGAGATGCAAAGCCAGTGAACCACTCATGGACAGCTGTTTCGATTTAATGCAACTCATCAGCATGAGGTTAGTTACAATACTGCTTGATACTGAGGTACCCCACTTACGTCTACCCAGCCACACGGCCACCCACTAATACCTTGGTGATTTACTCCAGTACTGGAAGTACCCGCCACATATCACTTGCAAAAAAAACAAAACAACTAAGTTATAGTGGGGGGAAATTGTGATCGATAAAAAAAAAATTTCCCCACCATAACTTTCTTGTTTTTATATGTATGTATTATCATTATTTTTTTTACATTCTTTATTTTTGTTGTGCAAAGGATTTACAGACATGCCGCTATAGCATATACAAGCAATTTGAAACAGATAATAACATGGCATGAGATAGACATGCACAATTTTTAGATTTAACGTAGAGTAAATGAAAACAAGCTGAACAATTAGGAATGATTCCATCCCAAGGGAGCTCCGTGAAAAAGATGTGGGGGTCCAGAACACCATAAACTATACTTAAATTGCTATTTGCTGTTAAAAACTAATAAACATGCAACTTCAGTTGAAAAATAAATTATTTCGAGATTTCTCCATAATCCATAATGGGAGAAGAATCAGAGACTCACGGGAGTCCGTCAGTCTATGCCTGCCAATGGTAGCACATAGTCCAATAACATAGAGCTGTGCACAAGTCGGAAGAATCAGCGAAGCAGTACCTTGATTATAAGTTGGGTCCTGTGCTTCAAGACCTCTATGTAGGACCAGTTATACGCAGCATCAGTAAAGGGGTTTCCTGGGGTGTTGTTGATCCGGTTTGTGCCTCTCGATGCAGGTCAGTTTAGGGCCTATAGCCATGCGTTGGTCCCCAGGATGTTGGTGTGACAGCGCAGGTGCGGAACCAGGTGGCGTTCTGAACTCTCAGTATCACAATAAGCACAACCAGTACCTTTGAAAAGTTTCATGGGGCTGCAGTGAGGCCAAACGGTGCGGCACGAAATTGGAAGTTCTATTCTCCTATAACGAATCTGAGGTAACGCTGATGATCTATGGCTATTGGAATGTGATAGTAAGCATCCTTGAGATCTATAGAGATAAGGAAATTGTTCTTCCAAATTGCTGGGGATATGGATCTGATTGACTCCATCCCGAAGGCTCTGACATTCAGCCTTTTGTTGACCCTTCTTAGATCCATGTTCCTTTACTTTTTGCACCAGAGAGAGGCAAATATTGTCCCTGGAACCGCTCTTGTTATGGGACCTGAGAAATCACTTCTTACATATTTCTTCAGTGCTATCCCTTTTGATTCGTCTGTCAGAATTCTCTTGTTGGTATAGAGACTCTTGTGGCTGAAGAAAACTCCAGTCTATATCCCATCTGGACTATGGATACCACCCAAGTCTCCAGAATGTGACAAGACCAGGTATCTCTGATCAGAAAAAGTAAGGCTCATACTGGATAGCCACAAGTTCATTCCTGAAGAGCAAAATTACTGCTTCATAACTCTATTAGAACCTTAAAGCCAGGTTGACCAACCTGCCATGAGCTACCTCTGGAGTATTCCCTGCAGGGTCAGTAACTCCATGTATTTCGGAAATGCTGGTCACTGGAGGTTCTCCTGTCTGACCATGAGGAGCCGGGCTTCTTGGATCTTTTGTACTGAGGTACAAATACCTTGCAGCCCTCAGCCGCCTTCTTAATGGATTCATCCAAAGCTTTCCCAAACAGCAGCTCCCCTTCAAATAGAATGGTGTAGAGGGCAGACTTGGAGGATGAGTCATCAACCCAGAAACAGAACCATAATGCTCTCCTAGCTGCTATAGATAAAGCCATTTGTTTGAGAGAATATAATATTTACACCAAGGGAAGCTTCTGTAAAGTCAATTGTCACCTGAAGACTCCAGACTGCATCAAAAATATTGGCTCTTAAAGGACCACTATAGTGCCAGGAAAACAAACTCGTTTTCCTGGCACTATAGTGTTAATAGCTCCCCCCCCACCCTCAGGGTCCCACTCCCGCCGGGCTGAAGGGGGAGGAAGGGGTTAAACACTTACCTTTCTCCAGCGCCCGGCTCCCTCTGCGCTGGGGACTCTCCTCCCCCTTCCAACGTCATCGGCTGAATGCGCATGCGCGGCAAGAGCCACGCGCTCATTCAGTCAGTCCATAGGAAAGCATTTCTCAATGTTTTCCTATGGACGGCAGTGTCTTCTCACTGTGAAAATCATAGTGAGAAGCGCGGAAGCGCCTCTAGCGGCTGTCAATGAGACAGCCACTGGAGGCTGGATTAACCCATATGTAAACATAGCAGTTTCTCTGAAACTGCTATGTTTACAGCAGGCAGGGTTAACCCTAGATGGACCTGGCACCCAGACCACTTCATTAAGCTGAAGTGGTCTGGGTGCCTATAGTGGTCCTTTAATATCTCTCGCCACAACAGCAGTTATATATTTAATCACACTTTTCATGGCTCTAGAAACAGCAGTGAAAGCTACAGCTGGATGACATCCTGCACCGGAAGGCGTATAAATTTGGACAGGTCTGAGTCCACTTTTAATCCATAGGCTTGCATAAAAAAGCTGAGTTGTCAAGTGGTAGTATCTTCCCACAGGCTACCCTAGAAATAAGTGCCTCCACCTTAGTTGGTGTAGTCCAAGGGGTGGAGGTACCTTAATCCACATGGTAAAGTTTGGCCTCTCATTCTTACCTCTAAGGCCTCTGAAATACCTCGGAACTTCTTTTGCAAGAAAAGCCAACATGTCCTGTGGCTGCGCAGGTATAGGTGATGATGAAGCGCCTACCTTCTGAAGATAGTCAAAGCAAAACTGCTTTCCCATCAGAACCAGAATATGATGTAAATCCAGGCATCAAACAAACAATGAAACAAATTAATAAATATTACCTGTGCCAAAGTACTTTAGTACAAAAGGGCACTGTCAATTACTATTTCCAAGAAAACAGTCAAACATATTTAAAACTGGCTGAAAACAGCACTTACCCATGTCTGGAGAACTGGCAAATACTTTCCAAATAAGTTTGGAATGTTTACTGTAATTTTCCCTCCATTTTAGGTACTTTCTGGCCCTCGCCCTTATCCAAGATGGCTGCAGCAACTTGTATTCCCATAATGCAAATCATCGGTATCTGGCACTTTCTGTGTGCATTTGCCGTTTAGATACCGGTGGAGAGAGCTCGGTCTGCAGCATACATGACCCCTGAACACCTAGGGAACCGGAAATAAATCCCTGGGACCGAGTGGAAGCATAAGAAATAAAGTAAAAGTACCTGCAATGTGATTAAAAGGCAACACGGTGCAAAAGTCACCAAAGTTTAGACGTGCCACAGCATAAAGGCACCACAGCATAAGGCACGACTGCAGAAGATACCACTGTTAAAGACATCACAGTTTTAAGGCACCGCAGGATAAAGGCACCACAGTATAAAAGTACCATAGTATAAAAAAATCACAGTATTAAGACACCATAATATAAAGGCACCACACTATAAAAGTACCATAGTATAAAAACATCACAGTATTAAGACACCATAATATACAGGCACCACAGAATAAACACACCGCAGCAAATATAAAGGCACCAAACACCTAAAATAGCAAATACAAATAAAATAATGAAGCAAATATATATATATATATATATATATATATATATAAAAAGCTGATATCCTTGCACTCAGGCTATATTCAATATGTAAGGGCCGGGTGCTTTAAGCCAAAAGCCAAATAATGTACACATGTATAGAATAGCTTGCACTCACGGTCTTTAAGTTGAAAAAAAATCGCTTTATTCAAAGCATATCATATAATCATCGCACCAGGTGCGATGATTATATGATATGCTTTGAATAAAGCGATTTTTTTTCAACTTAAAGACCGTGAGTGCAAGCTATTCTATACATGTGTGTGTGTGTATGTGTATATATATATATACACACACACACACACACACACACACACACACACACACACACACACACACACACACTGTCTAGGTGTATTTTACTATTAGTATATATATAATTATTGTTATATATATTAAATTACACATAGATTGATATTGATTAAATATATATAATTATTGTTATATATATATATATATTTAGATATAATATAAAAAAATTAAATATGTAAATACGTTAAAAAATAAAAATAGATGTGTGTTATTTCGTTCTAACTATTGTGATATTAATATATATATAAAATACACGTAGAACGAAATAATATATATATCTATATACATAAATATATACGTGTGTGTGTATATATATATATATATATATATATATATATATATATATATATATATATGTATGTATGTATATGTGTGTAATATTTTTACATAATAAGCATCTTAATTAATTACAATTAGCGGGACCTGCCTGACAACCCATGCCGAAAGTAAAGGAAATTTAATTTGCTAGCACTATATTTAACCCTATAACTTTGCAACAGTAGACAACCCAAGGTATTGCAAACGGGGTATGTCCAGTCTTTTTTAGTAGCCACTTTTTTAGTAGTCACAAACACTTGCCAAAATTGGCGGTTTTTTGCATTTTTCACACACAAACAAATATTAACGCTAACTTTGGCCAGTGTTTGTGACCAAATGGCTACTAAAAAAGACTGGACATATCCCATTTGCAATACCTTGGGTTGTCTACTATTGCAAATGGTATGCCATTATGGCTGTAAATTTAATTCCTGGGCTACTATACAGTCTCAAAGGCAACGTAACCAATCTGGCAAATTTCAAATTCAAATGTAACATGCTATATTTGACCCTGTAACTTCCCAAAACGCCATAAAACCTGTACATAGGGGGTACTGTCTTACACGTGAGACTTTACTGAATACAAATATGTGTATTTTATTGCAGTAAAAGCAAACAGTATTATGACATTGACCGTTAAAATGTCATGTAGAACTAAAAAAATAAAAAATAAAATCTTATTTTCTCCCATTTGTTTCATATTAAATTATGTTTCATAGCTAAATATTTGATATTAAATGAAAGCCCTGTTTCCCCTGAATAAAATGATATATAATAAGGGTGCGTGTATTTAATATGAAAGAGTTGAATTACGGTTGGACAGACATGTAGCGCAAATGCCAGGTTTTGTTTACATTTTGTTTCGTTCACAACGTGTACATTTGGCTCAGTCCTTAAGGGGTTAATCTTCATCCTGGATCTTTGCATTAATAATCTTGTTTGCACGTGGTTGTGTTAATGTGTGGTTGTGCTGTGTAGCGTTCTAATTTTCAATATGTATCTGAAAATACAAACTTTCAATACTTTCCTCTTATATCACTATTCGTTTTTGTTTTTTTGTGTGTGTGTTTGTTGACACAGGGGAAAAAAATTAAGGGACATTTTTTTTCCCCTGTAAATGCATTATGATGTGTGTTATTTTTTATTTATTTTTTATTCGTATGGAAAAGCAATGATCATCACAAACACTGTGATCTTTTAATGTAATTCTCTACCTTTAAGATTTTTACGTTATCTTTTAATATGTTTTATAATAATGTGCTGATTTAATGCCTTGAACCTCTTACTACTGTAAGCTTTATTTTTCAAAAATAGCCCAAATGTAAACCTTTTCTGCTGATATGTAAGGAAGAGAGTCAAATTGCTGACACTGTTTCTGTTAGCTGCACTGGTGTTAGATCAACAAGGCAGCATAATACATGTCCATATTGTAGTATTAAGTTTAATTACATAGAAATCAATATTTATATGTTATTTTATTTTCTATGCAAATAAACCCA